ATGTCTTTCATTTCCTCCACCTCAAGCTCTAGTTCTTCTGATTTCTCAAATAACGTTGAATTTGATCGGTTAGTTGATGATTATGCTGCTAACCACCTACCACATATTTTAATTCCCCAAGACTCACCACAAGAATTCCAGCTTAATAATGATATAGCAAATGTCCCAGAGCCTAAAAGGGATAGGGAAAGAGAAAAAGGGCATGTGCAACTATATAACGATTATTTTGCGAGTAACGCAGTGTATAACGACAACCAATTCCGCCGTAGATTTCGTATGCAAAGATCTTTGTTCTGGAAAGCTTGGTTTATCACCGTTGTAGAAATGCACCGCTGCAATAAGAATGTAAGCGTATGGCGTAGCCCCTGATGTCATGGATGAATATCTTCGTATAGGTCAAACAACCTCAAGGAATGCATTGCAACATTTCTGTCAGGGGGTTATTACACATTTTGAAAGTGAATATCTACGTAAACCTACAGATGAAGATCTAAGGAGAATCCTTCACCAAAATGAATTGCGTGGGTTTCCAGGCATGGTTGGTAGTATAGATTGCATGCATTGGGAGTGGAAGAATTGTCCTACGGCTTGGAAAGCACAATATGCTGGTCGTAGCAAAACTGCAACCCTCATTCTTGAAGCCGTTGCTGATCAAGATTTATGGATTTGGCATGCGTTCTTTGGAATGCCTGGCTCATGTAATTATCTTAATGTCCTTTACCGTTCACCGGTGTTTGATGATGTTTTACAAGGTCGTGCACCACCAATAAATTTTTGGGTTAACGGACATCAATATAAGTTGGCCTACTACTTGGCAGATGGGATTTACCCGAGATGGCCAACTTTTATACAAGGTATAACACATCCTCAAGTTCAAAAAGACAAGTTGTTTGCTGATCAACAAGCAGCAGTTCGGAAAGACGTTGAACGGGCTTTCGGAGTTTTACAAGCTAGGTTTTCTATACTCCGACAACCAGCACTTGCATACGACGAAGATGTTCTTTGTGACATTATCAAAGCCTGTATAATAATGCACAACATGATCGTCGAGGATGAACGACACAACTACACCCGTGCAGATGTTTTAAGACGGTACTACGAAGAAGATGGACCACAACGTACAGCAGCGCGGCCGGGACCGAGCACAAGTGCCACGGTGAATAACAACGAGCCATTTGAATTCAACGTTGGGCGGCCACCCAACATTGATTTCAACGCGTACTTTCAAAGGAGGATTGCACTTCGTGATAGAGAAATTTATTCGTCTCTCAAACAAGATTTAGGAGAGCACATATGGCAGAACTTTCGTCATAACACGGCCGAATAAGCAAATTTGTAGTTTGTAATCGTATCGTTTTTAGGTTTTAATACCCGTGTTCGTGTATTACTTCAGGTCAAACCGCTTTTTTTTAAGTTCGTAACCATACTGTTTTTTAATATCCGATGTATTTGTATTGCCGTTTATGTGTTCATTTCAAAAATGCGCTTCTAATTAATCGTTTAAATTAAAAAAACATCTTTCGTAGAATTTATAATTGCTGTTATTTGCTTTAGTTTTTATATTCTAATTAAAACGTTAAATAAAAAATTACATTGTAAATGGTATATTTAGAAATTTTAACCGTAATTAATAGAATAAAAATAATTTTTAAAAAAAAAAAAAATATTACATTATAATTAAAACGTAATTTTAAAAATAAAATAAAATATTTTTTTAATTGTATTGAAAAGTTACATATATAGTATAAACATTATTAAAAAAAAAAAAGAGTTAAAAAAATGGTGATGTGTAGGGGTGTACAAAAATTGGCCCGGACCTGAAACCGGACCTGAACCGACCTGAACCGGACCGGACCTGACCCGGACCTGTTGATTCAGGTCCGGTCCCGGTTCTTAAAAATCCAGGTTTCCGGTCCCGGTCCGGACCCGGTCCAAACCCAGGGTTTTCAGGTCCGGACCTGAAACCCGGGAAAATCGTAATTAAAAAAAAAAAAAAAAAGAAAACCAAACTCTGAAAAATTGAAACTGAGTTTTCGTGGACTTATTTGTATTTTCGGTGGACTCATTTGTATTTTTGGTGTTTGAGAATCGGGACTTTATAGACTTTATGTAGTTTTGTAATTGATAATTTTGGTTTGTATGTAATTATTAAATTATGCAACAGGTCTAAAAATCACAAAACAGGTCCATATGCAGGTCCAACAGGTTTTGTATTAAAAAAAAAATGAAAAAGACACAAAACAGGTCCATTCAGGTCCAAACCCGGACCGGACCTGATTTTTCAGGTCTGGCCCGGAACCGGACCTGTTAATTCAGGTCCGGTCTCCGGTCCTCATAATTACCCAATTCAGGTCCCCGGTCCAAACAGGTCCGGTCCAGGTCCGGTCCGGTTTTGGACTGGTGTACACCCCTAGTGATGTGTATTATGGTGGGGTATAGTAAATAGTGGAGGATAAAGTGATGAGGGGTTTTTTTTTTTAGCATTGGTATAGTAAAAAAAACCTCTCATGAGAGGAATTGGATGGGAAGAGTGAGAAAGTGGGTAGAGAGAGATTGAGGGGTTTGTTTTCTCCTCACTGCTGATAGTGGTCTTACATAGGCATATTATTAAGGATTAAAGTTATAATACCATTAGCTTTCTATATTACTCTACAGTATTTACTTGTGAGATATAATGTGGAATTTAAAAAAGTGAATAGGAAGGAGAAGTGATTAGACAAAGATAGATTTACTAGTATTATTATTGATTACTTGTATGTATATACTTGTATATAATTATGAGATCAATGAGGAAGAGTGCCGGGGCATATTGTGAAAGAAAATATTGTTTATTATTTTAGACATTTGGATTAGGCTGATTTTGTGATTGCTCCTGCTGCTTGCATTGCTCCCATTGGCAATAGATGATGCCTACTACTGATAAACAGTTGACTTGATATTGGTATAGAATTCAATATGACCTTAAAACTTTTTTTTTTTTTTTGAAAAGAAATACGACCTTAAACTTGTTAGCCTTCAAAGGATTCTTATAATCTTTTTTTTGTTTTCAGTGTTTCATGTTAGGGTGTGTTCTATACGCATGATTTTCATTTATCTAAACTTATTAAAACATATTATACTTGTAATATGTATTTGGGCAACCCTTATCTAAACATATTTTTCTATAAATTAACATATCTAAACTTAATTAAAGTTATTTAAACTTATTAAACCTGAAATAAGTGAAAATAAACAGAATAGAACAGATACCCTTAGTCTTACGCTCTCACCCACAATTTAATTAGGTACATACTATACCTGAATTAGGCAACCACTTCCTTTTCTTTTTCTACACCCAAGGTTTTATGCCATTTCTTAAGTCGTGTCCAATTATTACGAGTGGACGCTTGATTTTGAATGCTTAGTTCTGTTCTACTATACCGATGAGGAAAAGATAATTTTGTAAATGATTCAATCTATGTGCAAATTTCATGGGAAATTAGCTTGTAATGTCTATGTTCATATCATTTTAAATTTGGATATGCTTTAATCCATTTGCATGTTTTAGGCTGAATTTTAGTTAACTTTAGTCAGTCATGAGGTTTCAAGTTGTGTTGAGCATTAGTGGCAACTTTGTATCGGACTGTCTATACTCAACCGTTTGAAGTAGAATCTAAGAGTTTAATCCAAAAGAAAACCAGCACATTGAGCTCTCACTTTGTTCTCTCCCTAAATTTAAGGGTCCATGAAAAAGAAAAGCTAGAAATTCATAAATCTTAGATGAATTCAATCTAAGAGTAATTTGTGACATTCTAAATGAGTAATTTTGCTTCCCTAGCCATTTCTTAGTGTTACAAAAAAAATAATAATAATAATATTAGAGCCTATTGATGAAGTTGAATAATTGAAATAATGATTTTCACAAATGCACTTTGTAATTATCTTTTAGTTGTAAAAATGGTGAAGAATAAATCAATTAATTTGGGAGTGAATAACTCAAACTAATGAAATAAGAATTCTAGAAAGATTTTGACACTAAGCATGAGCATGAGCATGATTCTTCTGTTAAGGGAATATATATTGAGGAGACTACGAGTAATCAAAGCTTCAAGTTAATTACTAAGAAAGTAGTTGTTTCTTAATTTTTTTTGTGTGCTTTCTTTCCTGTAACTAATTAAAAAGCATGTCTCCTCAACTTTGTTTACAAAAAATAATGCCATTTGAGGGCATAATTCCATTATGTCAATTATTATGCATTTACATTTGTACATTCTAAATACATTAATTCTAAGTTTTTTTTTTTTTTAACTTACAGGGAGTGAATAATATGCAGGTCGAGAAAAGAAGAAGGTGGCAAGTAGTTTACAAGAAAGAAGATAAAGAGTGGGACGACATAGATCAATTTGAATTTCTTTAGCTTCTCCATTTTAAATCCTCATTTCGTCATCAATTTTTTTCCTTCTATTTATTAGATAGACTAATATTTATAGCGTACAATATACACTTAAACAACAAGTTATTAAGATGGTTTTGATGTTGAAAACATCTTGTATTGTTTGTGATTTATATATTAATTTTACTAGCATGCGATTATCTATTTAAATGCTTATTATATGATTTGTTATTATTTTTTTTTTCTATTTTAACAACTTCAAAAGAAATACAATGATTTATTTCCACTCCTTCAACTTCTTATTGTAATATACAATAAATTACAAGAAATAACAAAAAAAAAGTAGCCAATTCATTTTAGTTCGTTTAATTTAAAGGTAACAATATTTAAGGCGTTGGCTTTAAGATATTTGACAACACTTTTGTATTATTACTAGAAAATGTAACAAGGGAAAAGGTTGTTGCATATTATGACATAAGATAACAATTTGGAATTGTTGCCCAAGGATGCAACAGTTGTCACTTGTTGCCTTTGTAAAAGTGTTGCCTAAGGTATCATTTTACTTTGGCACTTAAAACTGTTGCCTTTGATTAAAAATGTGTTGCCTTAAGAATAGACAACAGGGGCATAAACTACACCTCATATATGTTGCCTTAGCTTCAAGGCAACACTTTTTTAACATTAGTCAATAGTTTATCGTTGTTACCTATTCTTTATTTCGTTGTAGTGTGCAAAATTAGTTTAAAGAAGAGCAAAAGCAGTAGATGAAATAACAATTCTGCAAAAAAAATAAGGATAAACAAAAATGCCATGCATTATTCGACTAGTCTTTGTCAAAAGATATTCATGTCTCACTCCTAACTCCCCTTTAAAAGTGATTGAACGTTCATGTGATAAATACGACTATCTTTATTTTGAAGGATCTTCTTTTTTTATTTTTTCAACATAATAGTTGGACCGATATGGCAGCTAATTTGATACTCATATCTTATTAGAGGTCTTTAAATTAAAATAAACGATTCTGCATAATAACTTTTTTAAAAAAAATATAATTCACAAAAGTATGACCAATATTTTTTATAGATTTTGATTGCTGGATATTAAGTGAATAGAACTTATAAAAAAATTAAAAAGAAAAAAAAAGATAGAACAAACTATAAACTAACATTCAAGTTATAACAAAAATACTATGTACAAATGTTTTTCCACAAAAAAAAAAAAAAAAAAAAAAAAAAAAAAAACAAACAAAGAATATTATGTACAAATCATATCATATCATTAATAAATAAAGTTGGTCTTGTAGCCAGGCCATGAGACGGCGTCACTTGACATTTTAGTTTAATTTAGTTAACAAATAGAGAATTAGTAAAAATAATTTTGGTTTGGTAAAAATACTTTCAGTTCAGTAAAAAATAATCTAAGTTCAATAACAATAATTTAATTTCAATAACAATAATTTCAAGTCAATAACAACATATATATATATATATATATATATATATATATTTACAACCAAAACTACAAAAAATACACTATTGTATAATTATAAGCAATAGGATATCGTATGCCTAAATATTTGCATTATCAAAAAGGATTTTGGTTTAGTAAAAATGCCTTCAGTTCAGTATAAGTAATTTCAAGTTAATAATAACATTGAAATCTATGGACTTTATGTAAAATTCAAGCCAAAAAGTTTATCCTAAAATCTTATCGATAATCCGGGCATTGCTCGTGCGCAAAACTAGTTATATAATGTGTTGAGTACCCAGCATACAAGTTTGAATTCATACCTCAAACTTGCAAAAATCAAAAGGCTATCTTTTCCAATGGTTAATCTAACATATTTTATAAGTGAGTTCAATTAACATAAAAACAAATATATATATATATATATATATATATATATATATATATATATATATATGTATTAACAAATTACGTGAAACTACATATAT